ACAAAAGTAAACTTCCTTCATGGAAGGCAATAGTGGAGATGCGGCATGAGTGAAAGAGACAACATGCACAGGGGCTCAGGGGAAAGCCTGACTCCCCCAGAGGGGGAGAATGGATGAGGCTTTGGGGGTGTGTTGACATTTACTTCACCAGGGAGGACGTGAGTACAGTGCACACATGAAACTGTGGAGTAAAGGCAGTCTGTCCAGGATGAGAACCCAAATATGGCCAGGCATGGTGGCTCACACCTGTAATCCCAGCACTTTGGGAGGCCAAGGTGGGCAGATCACTTGAGGTCAGGAGTTCAAGACCAGCCTGGCCAAAGTGGTGAAACCCCGTCTCCACTAAAAATGCAAAAATTAGCCAGGCATGGTGGTACGCACCTGTAATCCCAGCTACTCAGGAGGCTGAGGCGGGAGAATCACGTGAACCTGGGAGGTGGAGGTTACAGTGAGCCAAGATCACTGCACTCCAGCCTGAGCAACAGAGTGAGACTCCATCTCAAAACACAAACAAAAAAACAAACAAAAAATCCAAGTACCTATTTTTTGTGGCCCAAACAGTAAAACAAATGTATTAACTTTATATTATGGATTTTTTAAGGACGCTTATTTCACAGAGTCCTAAATGACCACAAAGACAAAATAGTTTTTTATAACGTACATTTTTAATCGAGAAAAAGATTGTGCTTTGTATCTTGAAAAGCAAAAATATAAGCCACACACAGGATGATTAATAATTTCACAATCTCAAAGCACTAAACTTTAGCAAATTATCATTTCTAGATATTTATTATGATGAATATCACTGCCAAATTGACAGTAGATTTGCTAAACTGATCTGTATTGAATTGCAAGAGGCAAGCCAGCAAGGCACCTTTTCCTCCTTCTTTTGAGAAAAATTATAGTTCTTTATCCAAAGTGGATTTTCTTGCCCTGTCTCTCTGTAGTTCCAGTTGTTCAATTTCCAGAGACAGCTTATACACCTCCAGGGCCATTTTCACATCCTCTGGGTTTGGAAGACACTGCGTGAGTCTTTTGCCTGCGAGCACTTGTTCACAGCCTTCAGGGGTCTCCTAAAAGAGATATAAGTGGTGGGTGAGATTGAGAAGCTTCTCTCCTAATCATGAAGGAGAGTGGATCCTGACAGTGAAAGGACTACAGGATTGAACCAAGACCAACCTCAGACTGGTGGTTGAGGCTGGGAAAACAAGAAATCGCTTGGGTCCCACCACAGTCTTCCCCAGGGGAACATAGATCTTTTCTGAGACAGCTGTCCAGAAGGCCCCCATGGTAACAGAGGCTGTTTTTGCTGACCATCCAGAAATGGAACAACAATATATTATATAGCTTAGCAAAAGTTAAGTTAGGAATCAGTACTACCGGGTCTGTGAAACCCTGCTCTGTAAGGGCTCAGTTTTTGCTGTTCTCAAGTGAGAACAGGAGAACTTGCCACCCCTAACTTACCAGAACGCTTCAAGTCAAAAAGAGTTTCTTTGAGTGGGAGTGACTCAGAAATGAATCCTGACAAGTCAGATTTCACCATTGTTGAGTGGTACAGAGCTCTAGGGGATGCCACCATTTTTAGGGGTTGACAGCACAGACCTTCCTTGAATTGTGCCACTTACCCACTCACACCTGGGCACCTCTGGGTACCAGGTTCTGTTCTCAGAGCAAGTGATGCTTTTGGGACCAACGATACCATAGCCAGAATCACATTGGATGGTGACATTTTCAGGCTCAACATACTGATTCTTATCCACAGACAACCTTCCGTTCACTAATTCTGGTTTCAGACACAGAGCTGTAACAGAAACACATTTTTAAGAAATCTGTAAATCTATGAAGAAGGACATGACAACAGTCTCGGATAATAAGAATGAACTGTATCTAGTTCTGCTAATTGCTCTATCTTTCTCTTCATTTGAAAGCAATCATATTAGCATTTTATTGAGTATGACTACCTATCAGACTTCTGCTAAGCCCTTTATGTTGCTATCATTTAAGTCTCCTGGCAGCCCTATGAAATGAGCACTGTTATTATTCCTATTTTATCTAAGAGACAGTTGAGATACGTTAAGACACTTGCTCAAGATGGTAACATTTTCATATAATATGACAGCATATTTCTTTTTTTATTATACTTTAAGTTCTGGGATACATGTGCAGAACATGCAGGTTTGTTACATAGGTATACACGTGCCATGGTGGTTTACTGCACCCATCAACCCGTCATCTACATTAGGTATTTCTCCTAATGCTATCCCTCCCCTTGCTCCCCACTCCCTGACAGGCCCTAGTGTGTGATGTTTCCCTCCCTGTGTCTGTGTGTTCTCACTGTTCAACTCCCATTTATGAGTGAGAATATGTGGTGTTTGGTTTCTGTTCCTGTTAGTTTGCTGAAAATAATGGTTTCCAGCTTCATCCATGTCCCTGCAAAGGACATAAACTCATTCTTTTTTATGGCTGCATAGTATTCCATGGTGTATATGTGCCATATTTTCTTTATTCAGTCTATCATTGATGCGCATTTGGGTTGGTCCCAAGTCTTTGTTATTGTGAATAGTGCTGCAGTAAACATACATGTGCATGTGTCATTATAGTAGAATGATTAATAATCCTTTGAGTATATACCCAGTAATGGGATGCTGGGCCAAATGGTATTTTAGTTCTAGATCCTTGAGGAATTGCCACACTGTCTTCCACAATGGTTGAACTAATTTACACACCCACCAACGGTGTAAAGTGTTCCTATTTCTCCACATCCTCTCCAGCATCTATTGTTTCCACAACAGGATATTTGCAAAAGAAGGTATGTGACCCCAGAATCCCAACAAGGTAACTCTTACTCAGTCTTGATTGCTGCAAGATTCTATGTATAAAAATTTCCTTATTGCAGACATTTATGCAGCCAACAGACATATGAAAAAATACTCATCATCACTGGTCATTAGAGAAATGCAAACCAAAACCACAATGAGATGCCATCTCACGCCAGTTAGAACGGTGATCATTAAAAAGTCAGGAAACAACAGATGCTGGAGAGGTTGTAGAAAAATAGGAATGCTTTTACACTGTTGGTGGAGTGCAAATTAGTTCAACGATGATGGAAGACAGGTGTGGCAATTCCCCAAGGATCTATAACTAGAAATACCATTTGACCCAGCAATCCCACTACCGGACATACACCCAAAGGATTAGAAATCATTCTATGATAAAGAAACATGCACACATATGTTTACTGAGGCAATTCACAATAGCAAACACTTGGAACCAACCCAGATGTCCATCAATGGTAGACTGGATTAAGAAACTGTGGTACATATACACCATGGAATACTATGCAG